TGCACAGGGAGACAGCTCAGGGGGCAGGAGTGTATGGAGGGATGGACACTGGGAAGAGGTAACTTTGGGGAGGAAGTGGGAGGGAATCTGTTGCATTGTGGTAAACTGGTCAATGACATGAGACAAAGTATATGTGAACTGCTGTAAGGAAAGTGAATTTGCTCTGTAAATCTTCACCCAAATCACAATTTTAAAAAAATGTAAAATAATAAAAAATTTTTAAAAAATGATACTACTCCGAAAGGATTAGGTTGAGGACCCACCTAATCTGGTATGATGTCATTAACATGACAAAAGAAGACCCTATTTCCTAACAAGGTCATACTTACAGATACAAGAATAGAACTTAAACCTAACTCTTGGGGAACACAACTCAACCTATAACCTCAGGGTGTGATGCATCTATGTTATTTAGTATAGGAAGGAAAAGTTCCTGATGTTTGTACTATTGCATGTTTCAAATCAAATATAAAGCTCTTTTCAAGATTCTAAAACTTTCTGGCTAATTGTCTTAGCTGTCTATTGCTGTTATAACAGAAATACCACAAGTAAGAGTCTTTAGCAAGTAGAAACTTATTTTCTCACAGCTTAAGTCTGAAATTAGACACCAGCTCTACGGGAAGACTTTCTCTCTGTTGGCTCTAGAGAATGTCCTTATCTCTTCAGCTTCTGTTCTTCAGTTCCTTGGTGGTCTTCATGCAGCATGACTCCTATCTTCTATCTCAGCTTGCTTAATCTGCTCCTTTTATATCTAAGAAGAGATGACTTAAAACACATCCTACAGAGATCCTGGATAGAGAGGGAGAACAATGTGGAACAAAACTCTAAATCATTTGGAGAAAAAAAAAAGGGAGGGGACCAGGTTTGCTGGTCCTATAGAGCCTGGTGGAACCACTGAGACTATGGCCCCTAGCTGCCCTTCAGGTCTGGAATTGAACCCACACCCATGGTTTCCAGCCAAACGAAAGACAGGCATATGAGTTGAACATTTACCTCAGGTAGATACACTCCTTGGAGAGAACAATCATGGGAGAAAGAAGGGCTGCTTATGCACAGGGAGACAGCTCAGAGTACAGGAGTGCATGGAGGGATGGACGCTGGGGATAGGTAACTATGGGGAGGAAGTGGGAGGGGAGCTGTTGCCTTGTGGTGAACTGTGGTCAATGTCATGAGACAAAGTGTATGTGAACTGCTGTATGGAAAGTGACTTTGCTCTGTAAATCTTCACCCAAATCACAATTAAAAAAAATAAAAGAAATTAATGTTTAAAAAAAAAAAAATCCTACACTAACCCTGCCTCATTAACATAATAAAGAAACCCCTGTCACAAATGAGACTGTAACCACAGGTGTGTGGGTTAGGATTTGCAACAGATATTTTTAGGGAACACACCTCAATCCATAATATCTGATTTTTCAAAAATCTAAGAAATGGAAACAGTAAGTTTTTTAAAAAAAAGTATTCAAGTATTTTAAAGAATTACTGCAAATAGTGTTCATTCTGTCAGTATGAAAATCACCTAAAAGCAGAATAAGCCTTTCATAAAATTGTTGGGGAAAAAAAATGTCAGCTGAAAATAGACATTAAATAAAAATTTCATGGACCTCTCTTTACTACTTTCAGCGATCCCTCCATTTATCATGAACACCCTGGAAAAGAAAGCCTTCTTAAAGGTAAGTCTCAGTTCTATTTGTCATCATTTCAGTCCTTTCGATTCCTTTTTTAGGCTTCAAACTATACAGGATATTCTTTATATAAATAGTGAGTTGCAAATTTGAAGGGCAGTCTCTCTCAGACACTTAAGTAAAAAAGATGGTTCTAAGAAGATTTTATCTCTAATCTCAGATATTTAAAAAAGCTTTCACAAATGAAAACTGCTGCCCTCTTCTGTTTCAGTCAGTTATACACTTACCTTTGTCATTAGATGCTTCCCTAGGTAAAAATGAGTAAATGGTGTGAATTTGGAATGATGTGTTTCTGTGATTAGAAGTCATTATGTGTATGAAGTGTTTAAAAGTCTCTGGTACGGTAGTGCCTAAGGCACTTGGCTGCTAACCAGAAGGCTGGCAGCTCAAACCCACCAGCCACTCCTCGGAAGGAAGATTGGGCAATCTACTTCCATAGTGATACTGCCTGAAAACCCAAGGAGGGGTCACTATGAGTGAGGTATGACTCGACGGCACATAACAACAACAACAACAACAACATCCATACTCTATATGGATAGAAATAATAATTTGTAGCAGTACCTTCATGGAACATTGAATTAGTACCCTAGTGTATATTTTTTTAATTGTTGTAAAAATCTAGACAACACAGCATTACCCAGTTCAACATTTTTTGCATATACAATTCAGTGAGATCAGTTACATCAATCATGTGCAACCATCACCAGTATCCTTTGCCAAATTTACCATCCCCATAAATTAAAACTTCCTAAATAATAATTCTTCCCATATTTGGTGATCATCTCAAATACTTCATGAATCTACTGGCCACCTCTCTTCAAGGTCTGAAAATATTGTTGTTGTTATTGTTATGTGCTGTCCAGTTCATGCCAATTCATAGCAACCCTGTTTACAACAAAAAAAAACACTACCCACCATCTTCACAATTGTTGCTGTTTGAGCCTATTGTCACAGTCATAGTGTCAATCCATCTCATTGATGGTCTACCTCCTTTTCACTGACCCTCTTCTTTATAAGCATGATGTCCTTCTCCGGGGACTAGTTGCTCCTGATAACATGAAAAAAGCACAAGAGAATTCTGGCCATTCTCACCTCTAAGGAATGTGCTGGCTATACTTCTTCCAAGGCAGATTTGTTCATTCTTCTGTCAGTCCTTGGTGTATTCAGTACTCTTCACCAGGACTACAATTCAAAGGCATCAGTACTTCATTCTTCCTTATTCATTGTCTTGCTTTCACATGCATATGAGATGATTGAAAATACCCAAGGTGCCTTGGGTCAGGCACACCTTAGTCGGTGACATCTTTACTTTTTAACACTTTAAAGAGAACATTTGCAGTAGATTTTTCCCAATACAATATGTTGTTTGATTTCCTGGCTTCCATGAATGTTATTATGGACTCAAGTAAAATGGAATCCTTGACAACTTCAGTCTTTTCTCCATTTATTATGATAATGCTTATTGGTCCAATTATGAGGATCTTAGTTTTTTTATGTTGAGGTGTTATCCATACAGAAGAGTGGAATCTTTGTTCTTCATCAGTAAGTGCTTCAAGTCTTCTTCACTTTTAGCAAGAAAGTTGTGTCATCTGCATATCCTGCATATCTGAGGTTGTTAATGAGTTATCTTCCAGTCCTGATGCCGCATTCTTCATATAGTCCAGCATTTTAGATTACTTTTTCAGCATACAGATTGAATAAGTATGGTGAAAGGATACAACCCTGATGCACACTTTTCCTGATTTTAAACCATGCAGTATTCCCTTGTTTTGTTTGAACAATTGCATCTTCTTCTACGTACAGCTTCCTCATGAGCATAGTGAAGTGTTCTGGAATTCCCATTCTTCAAAATGTTATCCATAATTTTTCATGATCCATACTGTCAAATGCTTTTATGTAGTCAATAGAACACAGCTAAACATGAAAGAATTCACGTTGCTTGGTTCTACAATCGATGCCAATGGAAGCAGCAGTCAGGACATTAGACGACGTGTAGCATTGGGAAAGTCAACTGTGAAGGAACTGTTTCAAGTGCTGAGGAGCAAGGATGTCTTCTTGAGGACTAAGGTGTGCCTGACAGAAGCCATGATATTTCCAGTTGCCTCATATGCATGTGAAAGCTGGACGATGAATAAGGAAGACCGAAAAAGAGTTGATGCTTTGAGTTGTGGTGCTGGCGAAGAATGTTGAAAGTACCATGGACTGCTAAAAGAACTAACACATCTGTCCTGGAGGAAGTGCACCCAAAATGCTCCTTGGAAGCGAGAATGGCCAGACTTTGTCTCACTTATTTTGGTCTTGTTGTCAGAAGGGACCATTCCCTGGAGAAGGATGTCATGCTTGGTAGGGTGTGAAGGGTCGACGAAAGAGGGGGAGGCCTTCAAAGAGATGGATTGACACAGTGGCTGTGATGATGGGCTGAAGTATAGCAGGGATCGTGGAGCTGGCACGGGATCAGGTAGTGTTTTGTTCTGCTGTGCATGGGGTCACTATGAGTCGGAAACGACTCGACGGCACCTAACAACAACAACAACAAACATCTTTCTGCTATTTTCTGCTTTCAGCCAGGATCCATCAGATACCAGCAATAATATTCCTTATTCCCCATCCTCTGCTGAATCCAGCTTAAATTTATGGCAGTTCTCTGTCAGTTTACTGTTGTAACTTTTTTTTTAATTATCTTCAGCAAAATTTTACTTGTGTGTGAGATTAATGATGTTGTTCAATAATTTCTGTATTCTGTTGAGTTACTTTCCTTTGGAATGGGCACAAATAAGGATCTCTTTCAGTCAATTGGCCGGGTAGCTGTCTTAAAATGTCTTGGCATAGATGAGTAAGCACCTCCAGTGTGGCATCCATTAGTTCAAACATTTCAATTGCTATTCCATCAATTCCTAGAGGCTTGTTTTTCACCAATGCTCTCAGTGCACCTTGGACTTCTTCCTTAAGTGCCATTGGGTCTTAATCACATGCTACCTCCTAAAGTGGTTGAATGTTGACCAGTTTTTTGTTTTGTTTTTGTTTTTTTTGTATAGTGACTCTGTATTATTTCCATCTTTAATGCTTCCTGCATCTAAAATATTACAGGATGAAATTGTAAGCCAGCAATCCCATGGCACTATATGCATTCTTTCTACATTGTTTTTTATAGGTTCCATGATTTGCTATCATATTATTTATGCATAACCTTACTTTTCCAATTCTTAAAACAAGTATGAGATGGTAGGATAGGGTGATTCATTTGGCTCATACTCTTTTTGGAAACTGACATTATTCTATCTGCCAGGAGAAAGAGGTCAGCTTCCTCTTGGTAAGAACAAGTTCTTTAAGGTGATAAGGGAAGCTTTTTGGGGTAAATATTTGGAGTCTTAGAATCAGAACTGTAACAATGAGCGGCTACTATAAAGCTCTGAAAAGAGGACATCACTTACCGACCAAGCGCTTTTTGAATAGTTTCAGTTATTAGTAGAATTCTAAATGCCCAACAGATATGTTTACTTCCTATGAGGGCTTTGGTAGTTCAGTGGTTATTAAGGGTTGCATTATGTCCCCAAAAAATACACATGTGGTAAAGGAGCCCTGGTGGCACAGTAGTTAAAGCTGGCTGTCAGCTGAAAGGTTGACAATTTGAACCTACCAGGCACTCCGTAGGAGGGAGATTTGGCAGTCTGCTTTCATAAAGATTTACAGCCTTGGAAACCCTATAGGACAGTTCTACTCTGTCCTATAGGGTTGCTGTAGTAGTTAAGCTGTGTGTCAACTTGGCTGGGCCCTGGCTTTGAGTGGCTGGGCAGCTGAATGATTCCCTATGATGAGATTACAATCACTACCACAGTGGAATCTGCTGTGAGCAGCTAAGTAGTTGCCTTTGGGGTGTGGCCTGCTTCCTTTTTATAAGGAGAAGCTTTGAGAAAGCTCTCTAGCTTTTTGGCACATCTGGATCCTGTATTTGGTAGAGTCTCATCTCCAGTTCCTAGGCTTGAACCAGTGGCCTGCTGTGTTGCCTACAGATCTTGGGATTGTGCCGTTTTACCTGTTTACCTTGGGTTCATCAGCCTTAGCAGCCAGCAGCTGTCTGAATTAGGAGATTCCTCTAGCTCCAGTGGGCCTGGAACAAGAGGCAGAGCTGAAGGCTGAAGTCAAGGGACCTTCACCCAGCCTCTCGAGCTAGCACTCTGAATTTGGACTTCTACCCTCCTAAACCATAAGAGAATAAATTCCTGTTTGTTAAGTCATCCACTTGTGGTATTTCTGTTACAGCAGCACTAGAGAACTAAGACAATGGTAGGATTCTCCATTTCCACACAGGAAACCTAGGTTTGATTCCCAGCCAGTGCACCTCATCTTTAGCCACTAGCTGTCTGTCAGTGGAGGCTTTGTGTGTTGCTATGATGCTGAGCAGGTCTCAGTGGAACCTTTAGACTGAGACAAAATCAGAAGAAAGGTCATTTACTTCTGAAAATCAACGAAAGAAAGCCCTATGGATCACAATGGTTTAATCAGGAACCGATCATGGCGATGCTGCAGGACCAGGCAGTGTTTCATTCCATTGTGAATGGGGTAGTGAGTCACGGGCTGGCTCAACAACAGCTAACAACAACAGCATACTCCCTGTGGGTTCCAAATTGGGAAACTAAGGCAAACACTAAGGGAACACTTCATCAACACTTTCAGTTAAGTTATATTTTTTGAAAAATTAGATTAAGCAAGTATACTATTAAGAGGTAGTAATATTGAGGGCCTCGTGGAAGGACATGTTCAGGTTGTTACATACCAATGCACCAACCCCCATAGGGGAAAGGGGACACTCTCTTCCCTATTAATTTTGGGTTTTTTATTACATTATTTTATACTACAGTACACATTACATTGGAAGCTTTGGGGAAGTGAGGAATTATATTCCCTGAAATTTAGTTTTTGGAACTGCTGCCGCTAGCAATCTTACATGTCAATGTGAAATGTACACAAGAACATCCTGGTGGCTC